GCTGGCTCTCAAAATACCTGAACAATCTGATTGGATGCAGGCATTGTTCAGGTGTTTTGAAAGCCAGCGGGGCCGACTAGCAAGATACTGAAGCTTGGCCCAGTGGGAGATTCCTCCATCCACACAGTTTAGCGTAGATGGAGGAGGAATCTGTTGCACTTTTTCCATCTGACCATAGAAAATCTGCACATAATCTATAGGCGTATGGCCAGCTTAAGGAACCCAAATCTTGTTGGTATGTGCTCCTGAATTGTGCTGTAGTACATTCTTATGAGATTTGGGATAATCAGCTTTTTTCAGAATCTCATAGGGAAGCATGAGTGACCTCGCTTAGGGGAAGCAGTTGGAAGCCCGGGTCTAAGGTAAATATATATATTTTTTACTAGTGCTTTTTTGTGTCATCCCTCATTCTGCCCTCTTCTCCCATTATCGTGTTCCTTGTCAGCACATTTGCATGACACTCATCTCAGAGCAATGCTCTTAGTGTCACCAGATGAGGAATGGAGGGGTACTCTCCTGAATTGAGAAACAGACAAAAACAGCTTAATTTATGACCTGTCTTCATGCTTTCTCTTCCTCTTGCAGTCCTAATACTTGAGAAGATCGAGAACAATGACTTATTTAATAAAACCTTGAAGATCACAGACTTTGGCCTAGCCAGGGAATGGCAGAAGACCACAAAGATGAGTGCTGCAGGCACCTATGCTTGGATGGCCCCAGAAGTGATACGTCTGTCTCTCTTTTCCAAGAGTAGCGATGTGTGGAGGTAATGGGGCTTGCAACTGTTACCAATATATGGGGAACTTTCTTAAACATTAACATAAAGTCTCTGTTCTTGAGTGTATTTATTGTTCTTGCCATTTTTGTTTTGCTTCTCAATATTTGAAGGTTCAGAGAGATCAATTTCGATAGACCTCAATGTATGAAGTGCAACAAACCCATAGCAATCAATCAGCAAAAGTTTTCCATTCATTTGTTTTTAATAAACTAACACATTATCGGTTGTTATGGGATCGTCGTTGCTCTTGGCGGTGTCTTATCCAATAAGCATGTTTTGTACTCCAACAGTATTCAAAGCTTAACTTCATCTAAACTTTTTGGGCAGCGAGGGATAGTGGTTTGAATCCCTGTTAGGTCTCTACTGTGGTCTGTGACCCCATTGGAAAGATTTTTCCTCACTTCCTGCAACAAAACACTGCTTTCTCATTTAAATGGTGATGGGTACAAACCTCTATCAGGTTGTTACTGCCATCTGTTTCTTCCTGTCCCAGTGACTATCGCGCTTTTCATATTTTTCCCTGATTTCCCAGACTGTCACAGAGACAGGAAGCGAGAGGAAATCTTCCCAACAGGGTCAGCTGTAAAAACTTGACAGATGTATTTACTCTCATGAAGTCTATCCAAAACGGAAAAAAAAACGTTTTGACTGGAGATGGTCTTCAACAACATAATACATACACTAGAGGACCAGACAAACATTCTCCCCACTATAACAGCCCAAGAGTATATGATCATGAGAATGCTGCATCTACGATAGGACATTTTATTATATGAATTGCCAGTAAGTCAGTCCCTGGCTCTGATCGGCTTGACTAGGCATGCCAGGGAGATACTTCTCTAAGGTTTATTATCTGGGGAAGAGAGCAGGATACCCGAAGTCCAATTATCTGTCATATACAGTACTTAAGGAAAAACCAAGCCTGCAGTTAAAAACCTAGATGTGATTTTCAAGAGCATTACTACTCAGCTTAGATATAACGGCATTCTTCTCATCTACAAGTCACTGTGGTACTTGCTGCACCACTAACTCCTTCTTATTACCTTAAAGGAGAACTATGAGGTGAGTGCTATTCACTCACCTCATAGTTCTAGCCGACCTGTGACAATGAGACTGTCACAGGTTGGCTCAGTAGATCGGGAAGTGAGCGAACACATACCGGCGTTCGCTCACTTCTCGATCTTGTCACGGAACAGAGCCGTGACAGGGGAGGGGCTGGATTTCCCCCTCCCGCTCCGATCCTCCAGCGCTAACTGGCGGAAGGGACGGGGGAGGGGGCGGGTACAGCTGACTCTGCCTCTAGATAGGCAGAGCCAGCTTTCACTCAGGCAGCTGGGCGGATCCAGACATAATTGTCGGGATCTGCTTCAGCTGCGGCGTCTCAGTATACCGCGAGCTGTAGCTCGCGGTATACTGAGCTTAGGGTGACGGGAGGACGCTAGTTTGTGTCCTTCCGTTACCCTAAGGAGAACTATGGGGAAAAGCCCTAACCCCATAGTTCTCCTTTAAACCAGAGCCAGCAGCCATTTTAAACCTTTATAAGTAAAAGTCCTGCATGACTTAGTACATTCTTATGAGATTTGGGATAATCAGCTTTTTTCAGAATCTCATAGGGAAGCATGAGTGACCTCGCTTAGGGGAAGCAGTTGGAAGCCCGGGTCTAAGGTAAATATATATATTTTTTACTAGTGCTTTTTTGTGTCATCCCTCATTCTGCCCTCTTCTCCCATTATCGTGTTCCTTGTCAGCACATTTGCATGACACTCATCTCAGAGCAATGCTCTTAGTGTCACCAGATGAGGAATGGAGGGGTACTCTCCTGAATTGAGAAACAGACAAAAACAGCTTAATTTATGACCTGTCTTCATGCTTTCTCTTCCTCTTGCAGTCCTAATACTTGAGAAGATCGAGAACAATGACTTATTTAATAAAACCTTGAAGATCACAGACTTTGGCCTAGCCAGGGAATGGCAGAAGACCACAAAGATGAGTGCTGCAGGCACCTATGCTTGGATGGCCCCAGAAGTGATACGTCTGTCTCTCTTTTCCAAGAGTAGCGATGTGTGGAGGTAATGGGGCTTGCAACTGTTACCAATATATGGGGAACTTTCTTAAACATTAACATAAAGTCTCTGTTCTTGAGTGTATTTATTGTTCTTGCCATTTTTGTTTTGCTTCTCAATATTTGAAGGTTCAGAGAGATCAATTTCGATAGACCTCAATGTATGAAGTGCAACAAACCCATAGCAATCAATCAGCAAAAGTTTTCCATTCATTTGTTTTTAATAAACTAACACATTATCGGTTGTTATGGGATCGTCGTTGCTCTTGGCGGTGTCTTATCCAATAAGCATGTTTTGTACTCCAACAGTATTCAAAGCTTAACTTCATCTAAACTTTTTGGGCAGCGAGGGATAGTGGTTTGAATCCCTGTTAGGTCTCTACTGTGGTCTGTGACCCCATTGGAAAGATTTTTCCTCACTTCCTGCAACAAAACACTGCTTTCTCATTTAAATGGTGATGGGTACAAACCTCTATCAGGTTGTTACTGCCATCTGTTTCTTCCTGTCCCAGTGACTATCGCGCTTTTCATATTTTTCCCTGATTTCCCAGACTGTCACAGAGACAGGAAGCGAGAGGAAATCTTCCCAACAGGGTCAGCTGTAAAAACTTGACAGATGTATTTACTCTCATGAAGTCTATCCAAAACGGAAAAAAAAACGTTTTGACTGGAGATGGTCTTCAACAACATAATACATACACTAGAGGACCAGACAAACATTCTCCCCACTATAACAGCCCAAGAGTATATGATCATGAGAATGCTGCATCTACGATAGGACATTTTATTATATGAATTGCCAGTAAGTCAGTCCCTGGCTCTGATCGGCTTGACTAGGCATGCCAGGGAGATACTTCTCTAAGGTTTATTATCTGGGGAAGAGAGCAGGATACCCGAAGTCCAATTATCTGTCATATACAGTACTTAAGGAAAAACCAAGCCTGCAGTTAAAAACCTAGATGTGATTTTCAAGAGCATTACTACTCAGCTTAGATATAACGGCATTCTTCTCATCTACAAGTCACTGTGGTACTTGCTGCACCACTAACTCCTTCTTATTACCTTAAAGGAGAACTATGAGGTGAGTGCTATTCACTCACCTCATAGTTCTAGCCGACCTGTGACAATGAGACTGTCACAGGTTGGCTCAGTAGATCGGGAAGTGAGCGAACACATACCGGCGTTCGCTCACTTCTCGATCTTGTCACGGAACAGAGCCGTGACAGGGGAGGGGCTGGATTTCCCCCTCCCGCTCCGATCCTCCAGCGCTAACTGGCGGAAGGGACGGGGGAGGGGGCGGGTACAGCTGACTCTGCCTCTAGATAGGCAGAGCCAGCTTTCACTCAGGCAGCTGGGCGGATCCAGACATAATTGTCGGGATCTGCTTCAGCTGCGGCGTCTCAGTATACCGCGAGCTGTAGCTCGCGGTATACTGAGCTTAGGGTGACGGGAGGACGCTAGTTTGTGTCCTTCCGTTACCCTAAGGAGAACTATGGGGAAAAGCCCTAACCCCATAGTTCTCCTTTAAACCAGAGCCAGCAGCCATTTTAAACCTTTATAAGTAAAAGTCCTGCATGACAGCGGGCACCAGAAGGATATATCATCATATATTTCTTTTCTGTGTGCCCCTGTGACTGTGTGGTTTCACTTTGTTACCTAGGACTTGACCTCTGGACCCAGGGGTAAAACCCTGACTCTGGACTCTAAGTTGACAGTGGGTGGGCTAGGCTTTTCTATGAAGTTGAGGAAGCTGATCATTGAGTAATAAAGTGAACCCAGGAAAATCATAGGCTTTTCTGGCTAACCAAGGTAATGACGCCTGCGGGTATGCAGGAGTTTTCTTTTAAAAGTTTATAAATGTTTAATGAGTTTGCTTTGAGGTCATGGAAAGAAGTATTCAGCACTCCCTTCTTAAAGCTGAGTAGACCGTTATTGATTATCAGATATATGAAGCACTCAAAGTTTCTGTCTGTCACATTTTTTCAAGTTTACATATGAAACGTAATTTGTGTATGACCCTAAAGTTGAATGCTGTATTCACCTTGGAAAATAGCATTGCTTTATGGAAACAGAACACAATGACATTTTCACAATTTCATCCCCCAAAAAGGTTTTATTCCTAGTTTTAGAATAGTGAGTGGAATCCATCTAGATTTGTTGGCTATAGGACTTAACGTTTATGGACACTTGACCATGACATCTACAGTATATGGCCAAAGGTATTTGAACACCACACCAAATTATTGAGTTTAGGCGTTTCCAGTGAAGCATACAAAGACATAGTGCTTTTTAACCTTGTGGCAACAGTTTGCAGACTGACCTTTTCTGTGGAGGATCTCGAGTGGCCAGCACAGACCCCTGATTTTAAAGTGTATTACCACTTTTGCAGTCAAATTTGAGAAGCCCCCACTAAATGCATATGTGTTTCCACTCATATAATATACCTAAAAATTATTTTAAAAAATAAATATTTCTGACCTTTTTAGTTGTTTCTTTGGAGCAAATCTATGCTTACAGTGTCATGGGCAGTTTCTACTGCTTTGGAAAGGTGGCAATATGCAGATAAGGTACAGAATGGAGGAACAATGTTATGCATTAACTTATAACGTCTTGCGATCTGTAACCCTTTGTTAGGACAGACAGGTCCTGTTCATCTAGTTAACAACTGATTTGCCAGCACAGTACAGACAGGGTTAATAATGACAAACACAATTCCCCTGTCCCCTCATAAATATTGCATAGCAAGCTAGAACTAAGTAGGATTTTTTTTTTTTAGTCCTGGAGTTTTCAGAAAAGAGCCTTTATAAAGGTGAGCAGCAATTGTTTAATATTGTATTTAACTTCTGCTATATGAATGTAAAGGTAACAAATATGAAGTATGCATTATTCCAGTAAGGCTGCAAAAGAAATACACTAACTATATTGAACACACTTCTTTTGAATTGGAATGTTGATTACAAGCCAGGTCTTCTCATCCAACATCAGTGTCTGAACTCACAAATGCTCATTTAGATGACTGGGCAAAAATTCCCAAAGGCATATTCCAAAATCTTGTGGAAAGCCTTCTCGGAAGACGGAAAGCTGTTATAGCTGAAAAGTGTGTGTGTGTGGGGGGGGGGGGGGGGGGGGGGGGGCGGCTACATATTGATGACATGGTTTTTGGAACGGGATGTCCCACAAGCTCATATAGGTGTGATAGTCCGGTGTTCATAAACATTTGGCCAAATAATATAGCAGAGATGGACGGCAGAATATAGAGCCATCTATCCAGGTTGCACAGACTCTTTAGCCCTCATGTATGCAACGTATATCAAATTCTTAGGAGAGAGACTTGGGAGCAGTTATACTGAACAATCAAGTCAACTGAAAGAAAAAAATCACTTCATCAAAAATACTGTGACATTTGCTGTCTGTTGTTTGTGAGGTCAAAATACTTTCTTTTTGTCTTCCAGCTTTGGCGTTCTCCTCTGGGAACTGCTGACGGGGGAAGTTCCATACCGCGAAATTGATGCTCTGGCTGTTGCCTATGGGGTTGCAATGAACAAACTGACACTTCCAATTCCATCAACTTGCCCAGACCCATTTGTTAGGATCCTGGAAGGTAATCAGATTTTATCACCTTTGATTATAGCAGAGGGATTTATAACAGAACTATGGTCAAATATAAACAGCACATTACCATTTAATCTAGTTACATGTTCTTTAAAACATTCTGAAAGGTTATGCATAGGGGTTTTGTATTTATTTTCTGTTGTTTATTTTGTTCAGGACTTTTTGTTTTTAGTCAGCTAAGTATGAAATATTACATAATATTTAGCATTAGTTTTCTGTTTAGCCAATCAGTGGAGCTTTCATCTCCTTTTCACATGTTTTCTAGTGCCTCAATGCAACGTGTTGTAAAAAGCTTGTATACAGAGCTCAGTAGCTCAAGCTGAAATTAGTTACACACAGGCTAATGAGTCAGTGATTTATGTCTTCTTGCTGAGATGACTCAGTTCTAGGATTTTGTTAGACAGACAGCCTTAAAGCAGGCTGTTTTTGCTGTACTGTTTTTTTTTTTGTTAACTATATTATTCATATGCACATGCCCCACATAGACTGTGAGTCCTAGTAGTAGCTCTATTAGACACTGATGATTTTTTCAAATTAATTAATAAAAAAGTCCTCTCTGGAGAGGTCCATCATGTTCCATAACAGCGTCCTTGGAAATAAAGTGCCCAGTTCATGATGTGCTTTCCACCAATTTTGTGAATTATTCACCACGGTGTACACCCTAGGGGATAAGCACTCACCAGATGGATTTGACCACTTATCTCTTAAGTTGGTCAAAACTTGCATTATGCTTGATCCACTCTCTTTTTTCTCCTCTCTCCTCTTCCAATGTCCTTGTCTAGCACATTCCCTGGGCTGTATTGTGTTTCTTTACATTGCTGTTTAATAAAGTTCTAAAAGCTTTTATGCTTTGCCAGCCTCTTCTCCCTAATTTTTACTGAGTTGCTAATGAAAGAGTTGGAGCACCTGAACATTGAATGAGGAGTCACTTTAAAGAGTCCCTGTCTCCAAAGATTTAAAACTGTCCGTTTCTTGCAATATAAGACAGAGTATACTTATATCTCTGATATAAGTATATCTTTACTGCATCTTTACTGCAGGGCAAAAGGGGCAACCGCCCTGGGCCCACATCTGCCCCTGCTGCGATCTGCCACATCTGCCCCTGTTTTAATCTGTCGCATCTGCCCTCATAGCTGTCTTCCACATCTGCCCCCGCTGTGATCTGCCACATCTTTCCCTACTGAGATCCTTCACATCTCCCCTGCTGAGACCCTCCACATCGGCCCCTGCTGCGATCCTCCACATCGGCCCCTACTACGATCCGCCACATCTGCCCCTGCTGAGACCCTCCGCCTGAGACATCAGGCTGGCACCCCAGGGCAGAGCGGTAGCACCGAGTATGTAGTAAACTCATATGCTATTCTGCATTGCTGTTTAAAGTATTGCTGGGATTTGTAGTCTTCTATAGCTAGTGGTATTCTGCATTGCTATTGGGTATCTATTTACTCATCGTAACCTTATGCTATTGTTATGTAATTCCAGTTCATTTAATGTAATTTCTAGTATACTTACCAATTTTCAGACATTGATAACGATGAACAATTTTGGTTACAGCATGCTGGGACCCGGATCCTCACAGCCGCCCCTCCTTCTCCATCATTTTGGATCAGCTGATCACCATAGAGCAATCCGCCATGTTTCAGATGCCCTTGGAATCTTTCCATTCCCTGCAGGAAGACTGGAGACTGGAGATTCAACAGATGTTCGATGAACTCAGAACCAAAGAGAAGGTGATTGGAGATGTAGATTTTTAGTTTGAATAAAGCTTAGTACAGTATTTTCAGCAAGGACAGATTTAGGGTTATTTTATTTAGGTATCATTCCACTGTGAGCATACCTGAATGATGACACTCATTATATACAAGCCCCCACTCCTGAAAATCTAATGCTAAATGCACTGTTGGAAAAAAAAACCATGCTGTCTTCTATATCTTCAGCTCCTCCTTTTACATGTACAGTTCCTCAAACAAGAGAAAATATTGTTTCTTATTTCTATAACATGTTTTGCGCATCCTCCTAATATTCCTTGCATACATTTCCCCTATAGCCTGCAGAGGATTCCATTGAACTCGGGTTGAGACAAATTGAGTAAACTTACTGACTTTGGCAAAGTTGCTAAGTTAGCTAGCTAATGATACCAGGTCACTGAATGCTGCTGTTTGTTGCATGAAAGAGGAACTCCAGGAATTGTAAAAATTAACCCTTGCAGTGGGGCTACCCCCGCACCACATGGGTTAGCTGCTCATTTTGTTCTAGGGACTAAAATAAAGAAGATATACTCACCTGATCCTCAGCCCCACCAAGCTGCTGGACCGGTCCCTGCAGGCTCTTCTTCCCTGGGTTCTGGCAGTCTAAGGCCCAGAGACGTCCTCACATCTAATACAAGTGCATTAGACGTGAGGACGCCAAGGGACTTTTCACTGCCGGAGCGGAAGGGGAGGGAGGTGAGTGCTGACTGCTGCAAGACCGAGGATCAGGTGAATATATCATCCTTATTCCGACCCCTAGAGAAAAATGAGCCATTAACACTTGAAGAGCAGGAGTAGCCCCACGGCAGTGGTTAATTTTTGACAATTCCTGGAGTTCCTCTTTTAAGCTGAAGTCTAATATGCTTATATTTTGCCTTCTCTGGTTTATCTACTCCCCCATCAACATGCTAATGATTTTTTTTTAAATAAAGTATTTCCATTTTAATTTTATACCATATATTAGACCCTGTGACATCACCACTGGGTCTCTGTGCAATGCAGGCAGATCATGGGGGGGAAGGGACAGCAGGGGGCTGTACATAGCATAGCATGCCTGATGCAAGCAGTGGGCTGGCCTTTGAGAGGTGTTATGCAAATATCAAAATGCCTTGATGAGTGGATGCCAGTCTGGAGGAGTGAGCATTGCTAGGCAGGCTGCATTTGCATGCAGACCACCCTAGGTAAAGCCTACATGTGATCCCGAGCCTCCATGACTGAAAGAGCTGAAATCCAATGAATGAAAGGAGTAGACCAGGGAGAATAATATTAGAGAGAAAAGTGCTAGAAGATGCTGGACATCCTCCAGCCAGGAAATAAGGTGGGCTCTATCTTAATTACTGCAGCTTCTAATGCGCATTGTGAGCAGCGCAGCGAAATCAGCAGTTTCAGTACAGAAGAGGAGCCTGTACAACTGTGCAAGACTGCAGGTTAAAATGGAGTTTAACTTTAAAGTTGCCAATCTTGCTTTGTGATAGGAGCTGCGTTGCCGCGAGGAAGAGCTGGTGCGTGCCGCCGAGGAGCAGAGGACCTTGGAGGAAATGCTCCGCAGGAGGGAACAAGAACTTGCAGAAAGAGAGTTTGACATTGTGGAGCGGGAGCTGAATATCATCATGTACCAAATGTACCAGGAGAAACCCAAGGTGAAAAAACGCAAGGGCAATTTCAAGAAGAGTCGTCTGAAGCACAAGGATGGCAATCGGATCAGCTTACCCTCAGGTAGACTTAAGTCCAAGTAATGGTGTGACAGCTCTTATTGTTCTAGTTATTGCATTCATCGTCTCATGATTGGCAGTGTCTGCAGGGCCGGTGTTTTTGATGCATCACACTGTCCCTTTCATTGACCCATTTCCTGGTAAAAAGATAACGGTGTATGTGATTGGTTGTTTTAGGCAACAGGAGCAGTTCTTCCTTCAGTAAGACTAACTTTTTCTCTTGATTTTTTGTTAAGGTAGCAAAGTGTTATTGCTGTCTGTGTCCCCAGTAGACATGTGCATTTGGATTCGGACGAGCCTGCAAACGAAATTCAGTTCATTCGGCAGTTCCTCCGAATCTGAAAAAGCCAATTTATTATATGCCCAAATATACGAAAACTACATTCGTGCATACATAAATTCGTTTGCAGAACGCGCGACAGCCATATTGGCCACCGGCATGTTCTGCGCATGCCTGCCACCATCTTGCAGGCAGATCGCTTTACGTCACATAACGTCACAGCTGAACCATAAACATTTGTTTTCTTTGAGAAAACGGATTAAACTGTTTTTAGTTTTTTTTGCCGTACACATGTCTAGTCCCCAGTAGGGATATTTACCCTGGGGGGAGGGGGGATATTTTACCCTAGCCTTTGAAACAGAAAGTGATGGGAAATCTAAAATATTACAGTTGTCACCAAAACAAGGAGTAGAGGGACTTTCTCCAGTGGGGACACCTGCTCTAGTGATAGGGGTTTTTCTTTCAGCTTCTTGAAATCTCTCTCTAGAGAGATTTGATCTCACATCCTTATGTGTTTATGGGAAGTGAAGGAAATGGCAAAAGTTGGGTGTTGCATACAGAGGGCGGCTGCAAAGTATACAAATCTTACTTGTATCCCCTGCACACAATGCCAAGCTTCTGGGTACTGAGGAAAGTGAGAGATGCGACTCCAGTACTGAAATGCTCTGATCGCATTACCCGCAACTCCTCAATAATTGATCCCGGTAACAAATCAGTGTCTCTCTTCAATTTGTTCACTTAAGCTTTGAAAATGAAAGAGAGAAGATGATTGGTTGCCATGCACAGTTGTGTTTTTACTGGTGGAAGAAGTGAAATGTGACTGTTAGTACTTGTGTATGGGCATTTGTTTGCTTCAGAACTGCTTTTCTCCCCATACAAGTGAATGGGAATGGAAAGCAACTTAATGCATCTGGAAGCAGCTTGAAAGCAAGTCAAACACTCCTCTATAGAAGCTCAAAAGGATCTCCGAAGTGTCTTAGTCTAATAAAAAATGCAAGCTAAATGCAGCTGAAAGCATACTGCATTTTCCTATCAACAGAAAGTGGAAGTCTAGTCGCCAAGTCCATTCACTGAACACTGTTTTATGTGCTCACCCATATGTTCCTGTACACCCCCACCCCCATGTCTATCAACTGCACACTGGCCTCTGTGCATGGAACACTTTAGTTGTGGTTATATTGGTCACAATACCTTACATTTAATGTGCATTTTTAGCAGCTTTCATTTGTTCTCATGTACAAGATCATTGAGACTCAATTATATAATCTGAAGACATACAAATATGGAAACATAACCCGTTGTTTTCCCCTGATATAATAGGTTCCAAATACCATTCACCTTCTGGGTTCCTCAATGGTACCTCAAAATGCTGTTGTGGTAGGACTCTAAAGGAGGGGCTGAGGGCTCCCGATGTGAAAGAGGCTCTGATGTGAAGGGGTCTTACAGCATAAAAGTATCTGTGGTGCTTGAGGTGACCACATGGATGGCGCCGTGCAAACACTAGCATTGACACTGTGACTGTCGCTCTGATGAAGGATCCCTGTGCGGACCTGAAACGTTAGCACCTTATGACATGATGTGACATTCTTCACTTAATAAATATATCAATGGAATATTGATATTTGAATTTCCAAGCGTGTTCCTCTGATATCAGACGGCACCATGGGTGTAAAGTAGGGTTTGCTTTACCATAAGTTACAATAAGTGTTAACCATATGTATTAAAGCTGAACACCAAGATAAGCCCATGTTGCCTGTGTGTACTTCAATCTTGGTGTGTATTTGTTTCGGATCTGTGTAGTAATCCAGACGTGCTGTATTTTTCCGCAGTGCACCAGGTGGCACCGCAGCACAGCACACCACACTTTGTACACTTTGCACACTCCAAATAAAGTAAAAAAATGTGTTACTGAATTAAATTTAACGATTGTAGATTAGCCACCAGAGGGAGCAAACACAGTTTACAATCACTCTGCCTCTTTTCAATCAACCGTTATCATAAGATATCAGCCACACATGCAGTGCATTGTTTTCAGACACAACCGACTCATAGACTTGCACTGTAAAAAAAAACAGTAAAGCACAACCATTGTGTAGCTCTGTAAAGCTCACCACACACTCCGACAGTACAATCACCTTAAGATCCACCAACGAGTATGTCGCACAATGGTCTGCCTAATTGGATACAAATTGACAGGTTAGTTTAGCTACGTCCTCTTATTACATAGTTTTGGTAGATCAGTGGTAGATGTTTCTGGTGAGTCTAAAGTAGCAAGCAGAGCTTACATATGTAATAACCAAACATAATTAAAACTAAATGCAAAAACATATATTTTCTTAAAACATAGAATTATTACCATCAACGTGACCTCTTTTCACATATATCTAAAAACGCATTGGATAGACTGTATATTTAGTTTTTGCTGCATGTTGAAATTGCAGTTTATTATGAAGAATGCAAAAGTCCATCTGAAGCTGAGTGAAAGGCTTGTAAACATTATCACTACAAAGTCGATATAATCATTTTTATACAACGTTTTGCCCAAGTGTGACTGCCTTGTATTCTTACAGTGCAAGGAAGGGTGGGCTATTACAGGAGACTGGTCCTCTTGGGCAAAAGCCAGCTATATCATTATTGAGGTACCTGAAGCGGGAGCCATCAATCTATTCACGGTGCTCTGTAAGGATTTCCATGAAACAATAATAGCAGTCTGAAATGCCATACAAGCACTATCTTTAGTAATAAACCTCCACCAGAGTACATAGAAAAGCTGTGTGGACAAAAAAAATAAAAAAGCTTAATGCTATGACTATATGAAGGATATTATACAGTGTGCGGATTGAATCTCACAACATTCAGATTTGCTGAGACTTCACAAAGAGGTCACAAAGATGCTGACCCAGTTCTGTGATAGATTTAGGTTGTACTTATGAGGCATTTAGCAACTGTCCCTATTGGAGAAGTTCAAGACTGTTTCACTCTGTTGATTGGCACAATTTGCTTTGGAAACTCACACATCAAAGTGCTAATTGACGCACCTATTTTATGGCTTACATAAACTACCAATAGCCAATCGGCCTGATATGACTCACCTGTGTTTCTGAATAGGGTTTAGCTTCTCCAAAGCTATATCTGTGGTGTTTCCATTATTTTGTCCACCTCTTGTACATGAGAATTTGACTGCTTAAGACCTCCCACAGAAGTCCGTGCTTGTAAAATGCTTCTGAAAAGCCAACGAATGGAAGATCAATAAACAGGAAGAAGTAGTTTGAGAATGCCATAGAGATACAGGGAGCCTGTAGAACACCTTGGATAAAAATCCTTAAAATACCCAATATGGCCAAAAGTAAGTGGACATCTCTCAAAACTATTAAGTGGAGGTGTTTCAAATGAAAGGCATAGTTAATGCTACAGCATACAAAAAAATATTAGACAATCGTGTGCATCTAGTCTTGTGTCAGCAGATTAGGGTAGAACCTTTTATAGAGCACTGAACTCAACCCTATTGAACCACTATGGGATTGAGTGGAACCTGTAAGCATGTCATGATCTCCATGCACATAACTGAAAGACAAATAGAGCTTCTTAAATGGACACTGAGGCATGCATACTTCTCCACCAATGATGTGGGAATAAGAGATCACAGCTCCATCTCATTTCCTACTCTCTAAATTAACACTGAATGGATAAGAGATGGAACACAAATACTCATCTGCACACACTATTGTACCCTGTAAAAGGTATAAAGAACTTTTTTATGTGCCTGACCTGTTTTGGTTCTATCTGCAGGATTTGAACACAAGATCACCGTACAGGCATCTCCAACTCTGGACAAGTGCAAAAGTCAGGGGTCGAGCAGCTACAGCCCCCCTGGGAGCCCTCTGATTATCCCCAGACTTCGAGCCATTCGATGTGAGTTTTCACCCATATGCATAAAAAATATCTGTAAATGAATTTATGTATATTCTATAAGATTGTACATCTGCATGTAGTTGACTATCTGTGGCTCTAACACGTTTTCTTGCTATATACTACTATGCAATGAAAATTGATGGTGTCTGTATGGAATTAGTGTCCGCTGGAATTTTTTTGGTCCTGGACTAGTAAAGGCATTGCAGGAATTGTTCAACGGTAGAAGAATTGCTTGAATGGGGAGTAGAAAATGCAACTTCCAATTGTGCTGAACTGTTATTTCCTGAATAGACAGTTTTTTTATCTAAAAAAAACCCCACAACACTTCTTACTTAACAGCCAGATCTATAAGTAATGTGTTTTACTACATAATAATATGTAACAAAAAAATATTTTGTATTTCACAGAAGTGAGTACACCCCTCACATTTTTGTAAATATTTGATTATATCATTTCATGTGACGACACAGAAGAAATGACACTTTGCTACAATTTAAAGTAGTGAGTGTACAGCTTGTATATCAGTGTACATTTCTGTACACCACTAGGTGAAAATGTCCAAATTGGGCCCAAAGTGTAATTTTTTTGTGTGGCCACCATTATTTTCCAGCACCGCCCTAGCCCTCTTGTGCATGGAGTTCACCAGAGCTTCACAGGTTGCCACTGGAGTCCTTTTCCACTTCTCCATGATGACATCACGGAGCTGGTGGATGTTAGAGACCTTGCGCTCCTCCACCTTCCGTCTGAGGATGCCCCACAGATGCTCAATAGGGTTTAGGTCTGGAGACATGCTTGGCCATCACCTTTACCCTCTGCTTCTTTAGCAAGGCAGTGGTCGTCTTGGAGGTGTGTTTGGGGTCGTTACCATGTTGGAATACTGCCCTGCAGCCCAGTCTTCGAAGGTAGGGGATCATGCTCTGCTTCAGTATGTCACAGTACATGTTGGCATTCATGGTTCCCTCAATGAACTGTAGCTCCCTAGTGCCGGCAGCACTCATGCAGCCCCATACCATGATTTAAACCAACTTACGTGTCTCAAAGTGCCAACCCTGCACTTTGAGCCAAATACTAATGTGCAGCTTCAAGGTGGTCCATAAATGGTCTTAGGTGGGCCCTGCAGTTGTCTGTATTGGCTCTTGGGGGCTGTTCAGCTTCAAGGTGGTCCATATGTGCTCCTAGGTGGGCTCTGCGGTTGTTTGTATGGGCTCTTGGGGGCTATGCAGCTTCAAGGTGGTCCATAGATGGTCTTTTATCACTCACGCTACGCTAATAGCGTATCTTCTCAGAAGCTGCACACAGCGCGGCGTTTTAAGTAGTAACCAGCACGCTCTATAGGCAGCTTCTGACAGCGGGGGAGACGGGAAGCTTGGCTTGTCGGGGGATCCAGGCATCAGGTGAGTATTAAAAAACAAAAATGTTTTATTTTATGTTCCTGGGGACATGTAGGGCTCATTCACACTGGAATCGGCCGGCACGTACAGCTCCGTGCATGCAGCCCCTGTCCTTCTCTATGGGTGGCTGCAGCACCTCTCCTTGGCGGCCAGTGGAGGGGTCACAGGAGAGGGTCCTCACTCGCGCTGACCCACATACCAGGATGTCGCTGTGGCTTTGGCTACCTGCAGAGACGGATATTGGCTCCGCCTCCACCAGGCTAACAGTGATCACTGTCAATGACAGGCAGCCGCCTGTTGTATTCAGATCCCCGCACAGCACACACGCCAGAAAAAAACAGCTGTCCCTCCGTGTGTGTCACAGACTTTACTGCAGTTCATTGTACAAAGTTTATACAATGAACCGCAGTAAAGTCTGTGACATGGAGCTGGAGGAGGGACAGCTGTCAGTACACACTGCGGGACGGGTGGCTGCGGCAGAACGTGGATGGGGAGTCGCGACACTAATCCCGGGGGTACAATTGCCCTTTTGCCCCCCCTGGATCCGCCACTGAGGAGGAGAACCTTGGCTGAGTGGGTGTTCGGCAGTGGGAACCCGTCCACACAAGCGGGTGGCTGGAGACGGAAAGAGAGAGGGGAGAGTCGAAGGTCAGTTCCTGTCACTGCTGTGTCTGCAGGAGGTAGACTGAGTCGGACTCGGCGGCTTCCGGTCGGCTACTACGGGCGCTTCACATACCTTGTCAGTTGACGTCAGTGCGCCTGCGCGGCTCCTCGTCTCGTCCTCAGTGCGCTTGCGTGGCAGAAGATGACATCGTCTCTAAAGGTCTTTTCTGCGCCTGCGTGCCCATCAGTGAGCTTTGAAGTGGTACGGCGGACCTGGGCTCGCGTGCCAGCAGAAACGGCCCTGCGTGCCCACTCTGGCACGCGTGCCATAGGTTCGCCACTGCTGGCCTAGGCCATCTTTATGTAGAGCAACAATTCTTTTTTTCAGATCCTCAGAGAGTTCTTTGCCATGGGGTGCCATGTTGAACTTCCAGTGACCAGTATGAGAGAGTGAGAGCGATAACACCAAATTTAACACCAAATCTATACTGATGTACAGGGGAACTCTGATGTGAAGGAGGAGCTCTGATGTGAAGGGGGGGACTTAGATGTGAACGGGGGAACCCCAATTTTCTGGCTTTTGTGTGGGATCCCCTTAAAATCCACTACATTTTAGACTGGGGTGCCTTGAGATTTTGCATACTTTTAAAGGGTGCCGTGACTGAAAAAAAGTTGAGGAGTGCTGCTTTATTCTGTTATAAATGTATAGCTTGCTCTACGAAAAAAAAAACACAATAGTTTTTCTTTTGTGTTCTATCCCAGTGACCCCTGTGGATGGCAGTAAGACTTGGGGGCGGAGCTCCGTGCCGAAGAAAGAAGAAGTGACTTCGCCCAAGAAGAAAGGAAAGACCTGGGGCCCTAGTTCTACACAGCCAAAGGAGAGACTTGGAGGGGAGGAAAGGTGATCATAAAACACGTATTCAACACAAATTGCTGAATTCACACAGAAGACACTATTCTTTTTTGGTTGTCATTATGGTGTCTATTTATAAACAATTTGCAACGCCATTAGCCCTGCCCATCTCTGTGAATATTTGTTCTCTGCAAATAGAGGCAAAAACAAATGTTCTTAGTATGTTTTCTTTTAAGAAATACTTATTTCCTGTGTTCCACAGCTCCATCTTGTGGCCAAAATGCTGTATTTTCCGAATGTTACCTTAAACTGGAAAAGAAAATATACTGAGAGCAATCATTTTTGTTTCTCTTCGCACAAAAGAGAACAATGAGAACTGTTTATAAATAGACTCCTATGTGTCACATTCATTTATGGCTCGTTTTCCAGGATGCATTGATGCAGAAACGGAGGACTTCCATCCTGAGCTATTCATTTTGTTCTAGGTGGATGTTGATCAAGACAGTAGACATGTGCGATTCGTTTCCTTCTGATTCGAAAATCGTACTAATTTTCTGAAATTTGTACATTCGGATGCATCCGAATTTCCAAATGACAGAAATAACGAATCCGAATGAATGACCGAATTCGGACAGATATGAATTTCATTCGGAATGAATCGCAACAAGCGGTGGAGCTGTCATTTACCGCTCTCGGGCTTCACTCTTTGTTGACATTCTGGACTTGAAAACAAAGTAACGGAATATTGTTACAAAATGTCAATAAAGAAAGAAGCTGAGAGATCTGTGTTATTCTGTAACAGCTTCTGCTTCTTTGCAGAGACTTCCATCCCCAATGTAAAGAATATGATAGCTGTCACAGAATACACAGAAGTGCTTAACTGTTCACAGAAATAATAATAATAAAAACAGCATGGGGTACACCCCCCAATTTATACCAGACCCTTTAGGTCTGGTAGGAATGTTCGGGGGGCTCCCCATGTAAAATCCTCCCCCCCCAAAAAAAAAAAACAGCATGTGGTTCCCCAGTATTTCATACCAGACTCTTTAGATTTGGTGAAATTTTAAGGGGAATCCCAACGCCAAAAAAATTAAAAAAAATAAACGTGGGGCCCCCCTAAAACCCTTTACCAGACCCTTAATCTGGGCAGCAGCCTGGCAGGACAAGACAAGAGGGGGACAAGCAAGCGCACCAAATAAAAAAAACTCCCCGATATTTCGGGCAGTGAACAGAAATAAACAAAGCCTTCTACTGGCTGTTTAAAATTAAAATCGCCAATGGCAGGCTGGCTAATGAACCCGCCCACTGCCTGATGTCTGTCACAGAGGAGTGCACCTGAGAGAGAACTTTCTTTTTCAGGTCTGCTCTTCTGCAGGAGCAATAGCTATTCTGCTATTGGCTTTTTTAAATTGCAGTAGCCAATAGCAGGCTGGCTATTGCTCCACCCACTGCCTTCTGTCAATCAGCAGAGGAGCGGACCTGAGAGAGAACATTATGAAAGGGGGTACCCAGATGCAGATGACACCCCCCTGCCTACAGACCCCCACAACCACTGGGCCAGGGTTGTCGGGAAGAGGCCCCGAAACCCCCCTTTTCCTGCCCTGCCAGGCTGCTGCCCGGATTAAGATTAAGGGTCTGTTATTGGATTTTAGGGGGACCCCACATTTTCTTTTTCTTTTTTTTGGCATTGGGGTTTCCCCTTAAAATTCCTGCCAGACCTAAATGGTCTGGTATGAATTGCTGGGGAACCGCATGCTGTTTTTTGTGTGTTTTTATTCACATCAGGGGTTCCCCCTAACATTCCTACCAGACCTAAAGGGTCTGGTAGGAATTGTTGGGGGAACGGAACCACACAGTCTTTTTTTTTTTCTTGTATCTGTGGAGTGTCAAAAGTTAAAAAGAAACAAAGTAAACATTTACAGGGTTATTCACAGAAGGGTGAAGAGTTTGGAGAAGACAGGAGAAGTGAACAATCTAGGACAACATCGCTGATTTGGAAAAATTCTCCAATTCAGATCACTTTCCAGTTCAGCCATGTTGTCCTAGATTGTTCACTTCTGAATAACCCCGTAAATGTCACATTTCTGCAATGAATTTTCATTCATAATTATCATTTTCTGAAATTAACGAAAATTCAGATTCATCCGAATGCCGAAACAAATTGACTTTCAGACCCGAATCCCCAAAAAACAAAATAACGAAACAAAACCAAATACATCTTTTGCCGGCTTACTTGTCTACAAGAGAGGTTTTTTGGTAAAACTCTACTTATAACAGCCATGCAGTTCAGTTTCAGTGCACTGAATGACCCCTTTTGATTTGACTTTTTTGCTGCTACGACTGTCCTGAGCTCAGAATTAGCTGTCAGCAGTCCTGACTTTTGCAGGGGGCCTCCAACACCCAGACAAGCAGGAACAGCATGAGTAGCCAGATGAAGAGCTTCTCAGAGCTTCCTCCTAATACTGGTGCAGAAAAATTAAGCTCAATATTGACGTGCAACTAAAGCCAAAACTCTTCTTTTTTTTTTAGTTCTGGATAGAGTGGAGAGGGATTAGATCAGGTTTTTTAATGATGCCTGTGTCCCTGTTAGGGTTACTGTTAATACTGTAAGTGAAGGAAAATCCCACATTTTGAGTTGCCATCTGATTACGAATAGATGGGAAATCTTTAAATGGAAACACTAGTTATGGTGACCCTGCTGACCACCAGGGATTCCCCTTAATTTGTAGCGATTTCCTCTCACATTCTGTTGTGGGTATTGAACAGGAAGTGAAGGGAAATCTCCCCAATAGGACACAGATGCCCACAAAATATCTGACAGGCTCGAGCACCCACTTTTACCTATGGGAATTCCGGTAAGGTGTGCTACAGGAGCTTGGACAGGAGAGAGGAGGGGACCCGGCGACATACCCCATCCCGCCGGGTGAACGTCCTCTCCTCTAGCTAGATGGCCGCCGGCAGGCGTCAATTAGATGGCCGTGCATCTACGATGATGGCACGCGCGATGGCGACATGGTGACACCCGGCCTCGGGACGCCCCTGGCACACAGCCCCCATCAAATCACGCTGCTGCTAATTGGTTCGTCTGTATAAGAAAAGGTTCCATTCTACCCCACACCTTGTCAGTACAATTTGACCATGTCCTCTTTGTATTTTTTGCTTGTCTTGTTGAAATGGTGTACTGTACACCTACAGACCATCAAACTGTCTCCTTCAGCTTCTCTGGCTGCTTCTCTGCTAGCTTGCCTTGTTTGGCTATGGCATCTGATTTTACATGATAAAAAGCTAGAAGGGGGGTGCCACAAGACAAGGGGCCTGGGGGTGGACAGGGGGGATAAATCCAACCCTGGAGGTTAAGAGCTAAAGAAGAACTCCGGGCAAATAAAATCTTAACCTTTGCAGTGGGACTACCCCTGCACTGCAAGGTTTGAGTGCTTGTTTTGCTTAGGGAGCTAAAATAACAGAGACATACTCACCCGGGCTGCAATCCTGGCTGGCTCCTAGACTGGTCACTTTGGCCTTGCTCTCCCTCGACTCCAACGGTCTAAGGTCCTGTGAGTCATCATGTCTTATACAGTGTATAGGACGTTAGGACGCTGAGGGACATTCCATCGCCGGGGCCGAGGTGAAGAAGAAACTGAAAGGGACCGATCTAGGAGACACACGGGATCATGGTTCTGATGAGTATATCTGTTATTTTAGCTCCCTATGCAAAACAAGCCAGTAACCCTCACAGTGCCAGACCCACTGCAACGCTTAACATTTTATGTGCCTGGAGTTCTTCTTTAAATAGCTGCATCTATTGATTTCAGTGGTTCATCAACACCGTTTAGAATAAAGCCGTATCCTGCTTTGCCATTGGAGTCCTTAAAAAACAAATTTCACCTAAAAAATGATATAACTAGACATTTAAACCAGACTTGTTCTGTGATGCTGAAAATGTGGTACAAAAAGGTCCTTGAGATGCTACGACAGCAAATGGCAAAATGTCCGCTGCATCTGCCTTCACACACTAGAGCATCCCTTGAATTACTGGCTCCTGTTTTAAACCTAGTGTGTCTCATGTGGGGGTGTGTGTGGCCCATATCCAATCAGCTAGCACTTCACACAGAGAAAATTGAGCCCTTTTAGGACACACAGGAAGCAGTGGGAGGGGGGAATGTTTCCTCTTTTCACAAACCTGCAGCTGTGGTAGGGTGGAATTGTAATTATGGTAACTAAATATACATCTCCAAAGCTGCCAGGAAGAAAAAATGGACTTTATGACAATTTAAAAAATACATTATATAGTATATAATTGCACTAATAAAAGGAAGGCTAATTATAAATCAAACAATTGTATCTTCTATATTGTGTTCATATTATATTCTGTTTGTTTTGATAATACCGTTACACTGTATCATGCAAATACTTTTGCACAAGTTTACCTTTTTCATTTGTTCTACCTGGGAAATATTTGTTGCTCAGCCTTTATCTTCATTTTTTTCCCCCTATTCATTATTTATTATCCAGCCACAGTGTGGCTAGTTACCATGGGTTAGCAATCGGTGTCTGATTATATATATATATAGGTTGTATAAAAAAACAAAACGGAGTATTGTAGTATGCGATGATACCTTTCTTATTGGACTATATATTGGACGAAATATATAAAAGACAAGCTTTCGAGAGTTAAAGGAGAACTATGACATGAGTGATTTCCACTCACGTCATAGTTCTAAGCCGACCTGTGACAATGAGACTGTCACAGGTCGGCTCAGTAGATCGGGAGGTGAGGGAAAACATACCGGGTTCCCTCCCCTCTCGATCCTGTCACGGCTCTCTGCCGTGACAGGGGGAGGGGCTGGATTCCCCCCTCCCCGCTCCGATCTGCCAGCGCTGACTGGCGGAACGGACGGGGGAGGGGGCGGGTACAGCTGGCTCTGCCTCTAGATAGGCAGAGCCAGCTGTCACTCACGCAGCTGGGCGGATCCTGTCATCTAAGTCGGGATCCGCTCCAGGTGCGGCGTCTCAGTATACCTCGAGCTGTAGCTTGCGGTATACTGAGCTTAGGGTGACGGGAGGACGCTAGTTTGTGTCCTCCCGTTACCCCAAGGAGAACTATGGGGAAAAACACTGACCCCATAGTTCTCCTTTAACCTCTCTTCTTCAGGTCAGAAGCAATACTAAGCAACATGACAACGTTTACCACTTAAAGCAAGAGAAAGTTGTTAGGGAGGGGGGGTGAGTGGGGTGTCATAAATGTTGGACCTGGGAGTAAAGAATGTATCCTGATAACTAGAACACAGAACAAATAAACATAGGATGACCAATAAATCCTAAACAGATCAGGGATATACAACATACATGAATATTATTATGTTCTGTATACTCATAAAAAGTTCTGGTAGTGTGTAAGAAAACCAGAATCCACATTAAGTCCCTCCTTTATGGAATTGAAATGTAAAATCATTTTTATTTCAAATGTTTTTCTTTCATGAGAGTTTTTAAAATTCCCTTTCAGTACTTTAATATAGAGGTTTTGGATGGAGTGATCTTTCGGGAGAAGTGATGTCCTACTGGAGTGCAATATTCATTTTCTTTGTGGTTCTTGATCGAGCTCCTGTGTAGGTTCATCTTGAGATGCAGCTTAAGGCCAGTTTCACCAATGTAACAGCCTTTGTCACATGCTGAACACTGTTTCATATAATCCACGTTGGCAGATGTACATGAGTATGATCCCTTAATGGTGTACATTTTGTTGTTGTGACTCGCTGTATTCTTGTCACATATATGTTGGCAAAGTTTGCAGCGGGGTTTTTTGCATTGTATATATATATGTGTGTGTATACTGTGTAAATAAAGGATGCTGCACAACCATATGCTAAATCCTCTCGATTGACTTATTTTCTGCTGTAGTGCAAACAAAGGTACATAATTAAGTATGCTGAAGCATACTTACCTATGTACCAATGTACCTTTGTTTGTAATGCAAATGAAAAGAAATCCATTGTGAGAATTTGCCATGTGGCTGTGCAGCATTCTTGACTTTGATATTATTTCTTCATGCCTCTGTTTTGGAACCAGTTTGATTAACCCACTGAACATAT